AAAAAAAAAAATCGAGCTCAAGCTCGACAAGGTCCATGCTCGACTCGGCTCGACTCGTTTGTAGCATGGACTACCTACCATATGTTACTTTGAACTGATTTCCAGTTCAAGAATGCTTGTGTTGTTGACCGTTGACATTTTGATTTTGCAGACACCCATCTCATTGGGGTAAGATGTGTTTCCTCTCGACTCCCGATGGAGAAAATTGCGGATTAGTTAAGAATCTAGCAAGCATGGGCATTGTGAGTACTAATATGATGGAACGCGAGGGCCTTATCGAAATATTTCGTGAGTGTGGGATGGAAAAATTGGATGACGACACTTTAATAACTCTGCTCGATGGAAGGCACAAGATTTTCCTAGATGGAGATTGGGTTGGATTGTCTAAAGATTCCTCATCATTTGCTGCTAAGCTAAGGCGCAAGCGCCGGAAAATGAGCTTTCTTCGTCAGGTGGGCCTCGACTAGCTTCATAAAGTTCCATTTTAGTTTGTATTTATATATATATATATATGAACTTTTTTCCCTGTAGCTTGAGGTGAAAACAGACCAGCACCAGAAAGAGGTTCGTATATACGTCGATGCCGGAAGAATTCTCCGCCCACTGATCGTCATGCAAAACCTTAAAAAAATCAAAGATTTAAAAGGAGACTTCACTTTCGACACCCTTCTCGATAATGGGGTGCTCGAGTTCATCGGGCCCGAGGAAGAAGAGGATTGCCACACTGCATGGGGCATAAAGTACCTCTTCACAGCCGAGTTAGACAATTACACGCACTGCGAACTCGACAGCTCATTCATGCTCGGTCTTAGCTGTGGGCTCATCCCTTTTGCTAATCACGACCATGCTCGACGAGTTCTCTACCAATCCGAAAAACACTCTCAACAAGCAATTGGGTATTCCACTACGAATCCAATGTTAAGAACCGACACGAACGCGCAACAAATGTACTATCCTCAAAGGCCGCTTTTCAAGACCATTCTCTCGGATTGCCTCGGGAAATCAAGATATGCCGATCGCCACAAAGGGATGTTGTCTCGGCCCGAATTTTCCAATGGACAGTGTGCTATCGTGGCTGTTAATGTTCATCTCGGGTACAATCAGGAAGATTCTATAGTGATGAACTGTGCCTCTTTGGAACGAGGCATGTTTCGAACGGAGCACGTGAGGAGCTATAAAGCTGAGGTGGAATATTCGGACGAGGATAATCTCGGAAAAAAGGTGAAATCGGATGAGATGATTAGCTTTGGGAAGGTGCAGAGCAAGTTCGGGCGTGTGGACAGCCTGGATGACGATGGGCTCCCGTTTGTTGGGGCGAATTTGCAAACGGGCGATATTGTAATAGGCAAGCATTCGGCTTCTGGGGTTGATCATAGTGTGAAGCTCAAGCACACGGAGAGGGGTATGGTTCAGAAGGTTGTGCTATCATCTAACGACGATGGGAAGAACTTTGCGTTCGTGTCGTTAAGACAGGTAACTTAAAATTTCTTACATTTTTTTGGAGGGGTCACTTGTTACATTCACCTTGATTTGCTTTGGCATCTTGATTATGTCGAGATATTATATATTTTGGCAAAATATGCATGCGTGTTGGTTTAACACCATAACAATTTTAGTCCCAAGTTCCAACTTTTCGCCTTTTGGTCCTATAATTTAAAACTTTGTTGCAATTTCAGTCTTCAAAGGACTGAAATTGCATTTGCATCCAAATTTTAAATTGCAGTATTTCAATTGTTAATAAAAAATTCAACCAATAGATATAAATTGGGAATTTGTTGCAATATCAGTCATCAAAGACTGAAATTGCAGCAAAATATTAATTGCAGGACCAAAAGGCAAAATGTTAGGGGTTGATTGTTTATGAAATAATTTGTTCAAATGAATTATTTTAGTTAACCATAGTTAATTTTGAAAAAGGTGGTATGGTTAATTGTTAGTGGAATTTTAAGAATGTATTAAAATAATATTTAAATAAAATGATTAAAGTTGATTTGATGTAAAAGTAAGAGATAAATGATTGAAAATGATTGGTAGTTAAAATTATGTGAGTGGATGAATAGTGACTTAAAGTTGATTTGATGTGTAAGAATGATTGGTTTGTATTATTTAATTATATGAATAATATTAAAAATAGTGAGATTGAGTTAAAATTGAGTTAGATTTTGAGATGAAATAAAATTGAGTGAAATAATTCATAAACAATCAAGCCCTCTTGGGATTAAAATTGGCATTAGAACTAAAAATGAAATTTAGCCTTTTTTTTTTTTTCAAATATGGAGACATTATTCTGGTTGTCATGAGTTGTGATCTGTCCAGGTTCGTGCTCCTTGTCTGGGGGATAAATTCTCGAGCATGCACGGGCAAAAGGGTGTTTTGGGGTTTTTGGAGTCTCAGGAGAACTTCCCTTTCACCAAACAGGGAATTGTCCCGGATATCGTCATAAACCCTCATGCATTTCCTTCTAGACAAACGCCAGGCCAACTTTTGGAGGCTGCTCTAGCCAAAGGCATTGCACTTGGAGGAGCTCTCAAATACGCCACCCCGTTTTCCACACCTTCAGTTGAAGACATAACAGCTCAGCTTCACAGGTACATGCCTTTCGAAAGTTGGATTCAAATTTATTTTAACATTGTTTGAGGACTCGTTTAGGTGGAATCAGATGGAAAATGACTAAATGTAGGAATTGTGATAAAACCAGAAAAAAAATGGAGTTATTTGTTTGGTTTGAATGAAAGATTGTGAAACCCTTGTCAGAGTTTCATCTCCTTTCCTCCTTAAATTAGGACATAGGTAGATACAGTAGAATTCATCTTTTAACTATTGTTAGGACATATGAAACATTAAAACCTTTCCTCCTTTATTCATTTCATCAAACCGGGAAGTAACCGGTACTCCATACAGAAACAACATAAATATGTTCAAGATTCACTCCCTTTGCTTGTCCCTTCCATTTCCATTCCTTTCGCATGAAAAGTTCAAACCAAACAAGCTCTCATGTCTTAACTAAGTAAAAAAAGTAACTGTTTGCCAAAAAGAAACGAAAAAATTGTAGTATTTTTAGGCTATAATTGGTAAAACTAGCTGATAGCTTATAAAAGTAAATTTCGAGCTTATTGTTGATAAGCTTATGGCTGAAAAACTAGCTAATATGATAAAAGTGCAAAGTGTTTGGTAAAATTAGCTAAAGCAAGCTAGCTCAAATAAATATTTCAAATAAGCTCGAGCATTTTGAAATAGAATTTATCTTCTAAATATAATTAGATTTAATGGTTATTTTTACCATGGCTAGAAAATTGGATGTCAAATCGGGAAGTAGCCGGTACTCCATACAAAAACAAAATACGTTCAAGATTCACTCCCTTTGCCTGTCCCTTCCATTTTCCCTTCCATGTCACATGAAAATTCAAACCATAACATGCTCTTATATCTTAAGTTTCAATTCACAATCGCATTGACGCATGCGTTATTTTAAGAAAAAAAAAAACATTTTCTAACTAATGACTAATAAAATGGCTCCCCGGGAAAAAAAAAAAAATCTAGGCTGGGATACTCGAAATGGGGAGACGAGCGTGTGTACGACGGGCGTACGGGTGAGCCCGTACGGTCCCTTATCTTCATGGGGCCCACATTTTACCAGCGGCTGGCCCACATGGCGGAGGACAAGGTGAAGTTTCGAAACACAGGGCCTGTCCACCCGCTGACCCGGCAACCCGTGGCTGACCGGAAAAGGTTCGGTGGAATCAAATTTGGCGAGATGGAGCGAGACTGCCTCATAGCCCACGGGGCAGCTGCAAACCTGCACGAACGCCTCTTCACCCTCAGCGACTCGTCGCAAATGCACATCTGCCGAAAGTGCAGCAATGTGGCTGGCGTGGTCCAGAGGACGGTGCTTGGTGGAAGGAAGTTGCGTGGGCCCTACTGCAGGTTCTGTGAGTCGGTGGAGGATGTGGTGCGGGTTAGCGTGCCGTACGGGGCCAAGCTGCTGAGCCAGGAGCTTTTCAGCATGGGGATATCGCTCAAGTTTGATACTGAGTTGTGTTAAGATAGATTTGTGGGATGTTGTTTTGGCCTCTCTCTCTCTCTCTCTCTCTCTCTCTCTCTCTCTCTCTCTCTCTTTTTGTGATGTGATGGATGGATTAAGGATGTGTATATGTGGGAAAGCAGGGTGGGATGGTTATATTTGGTCTCAGGTATAATGTAGAAAGCCTTCTAAAATTTAAAGTTGTCAAATTGAACGAGCCATTCATGAGTTCGGCTCGGTTCATTAAGGCTCGAGTTTGGTTCGACCTGTTTGATAAACGAGCTGAACTCGAGCTCCTTGAAAGCTCATTTAGTTAATGAGCTGGGCTCGGCTTTGGCAATTTCTTATAGTTCGGTTCTTTAAGGCTTGAGCTCGACTTGTCAATATTAATAAACAAGTCTCAACTCAAGTGTTGGCTCGATAAGGTCTATCTCTCTCTGTGATATGATGGGTGGATGAAGGATATGTGTATATGGGGGAATGCAAGGTGGGATGTTTGTTTATATTTGGTCTCAGGTACGATATAGAAAGCCTACTAAAATTTAGAGTTAAATGAAACGAACCGTTCATGAGCTCAGTTCGCCCGAGTTTGGTTCGGTTTGTTTGATAAACGAGCCGAACTCGAGCTCCTTGAAAGTTTATTTAATTAACGAGTCGGGCTTGGCTCGTTAAGGGGCTCGAGCTCCTTGAAGTATAGAAACACAACTAAAATTTTCACTACTATCTTATTTATGAACTCCAAATTATCATCTCTTCAAACTCCCAAAAGAAAATAACATAACATTCAAACACATAAACACACTCTTACATTGAAAAAGCCTTTGAATTAGATGCAACAATATCACTATTCTCTGTTACGACTTCATCCAATATTCTCTCTGTTATGGCTGCAGCAAGCGCAGCCGTGAAGCTGCGGTTTTTCGTCAACGAAGAAGCCATTTTTTCGACCAAAAGATTCTCGATTTCACTTCTGTCGTTCACTGATGTTGGATTAATATTTTGGATTTCGCTACTTGTGAAGGGTTCTTTTGAGTCGAGACTCATTGTGGAGCCTAAGCATTCGACCGGAATTTGAACTCCGGCTGCTTCTGGCTGTGGCGTGGCTGAGAAATCGACTCGATCGTGGTGGTTGGGGTGGCGGTGGCTGCCTTCGTATATGGCCACTAAGATGGATGGATCATGGAGACTTCTTTGTACCTATAGAGCCAAAAAAGGGAAAAAAAATTGTGAGTGCATTTTTAGTTATGAAACATAACTATCCTTTTTAACCTTGCAACAATTTCTTGAAATTATTACTAACACCCCTTCAAGTTTATATAATTGTTGGAAAAGATGCCAATAAATGGGCTACATATATAGTGAAATAAATCATTTTGTAAAATGTTGACATGCAATATAGTAAGGGGAAATGCTAATGTCTCGTTACGGAACCATTCCGTTAGATTTTGTAACCGTTAGATTATTAGATAGTTGATCTAACGGTTACAAACTCTGACGAAATAGTTCCGTAACGGGACCGTAGCATTTTCCTATAGTAAGATTCAACTCAAAATATGAAATTATTATAAAAAAAAATATTTAACTAAGTCAAGAATGGTAATAATAATTAACTAAAGGCCTTAACCTTTTTCTTGACAGGACAATTTGGTGCAAAAGAACACTTGTAATAAGCTCTAGGAGATGGATTATCCCTTGTCACCTTTTGTCCATATTTTCTCCATTGATATCCATCCTTCACTACCTACACAAAAGCCACAAATTTGCACCAAAATGGATTAATTTTATTTCATCACTTTAGAAATAAATAAATAAGTAAAAAATAAAAAAATAAAAAATTATATCTATTTACACTTAATTACCAGGGTAGTATTTGACGGGTCGTCCATCCTAACGTGAACTTTTTTTACGTTTGATTTCATCACTTTCGACGAACAATATTCATCACAAGAACAACTATTAACCAAATTAATTTCGTGCTCGCCGGCCTTCCTTTTCTTCGTCGTCGTCGTCTTCTCGAGTATAGTCAGGTCATCGTCGTAATTTCTGCTCAAGATTCTTAGCATGTCAGTCAATTTCTTGTGCTTGGATTTCATTAGGTTCAACTCATGGATCAGCTCATCATGATCATGATAGGACTGCAAATGATATAATTCATGACTAATTTTTGAATTAGGAACTTTATAAGATGTAATTAACTAACTAATAATAATAATAATAATTAATTTGGTACAACAATATATAATCAAAATAATAAATAAAGTTAAAGTACCTTGGTTTCAGTAGGGTTTTGCATGGGGTTAGTGTTGAGATCAATCGTTATATTCGTTGATGGGTCTCTTGAAATTCTTTCCATATTTTCCACACTTTTTGCAGATATAAAGTTGTTTTGTAGTTGTGAAATATTTATAGGTTAAAAATAATATATATATATATATATAATTGATGAATTTATTTATTTTTATTTTTTATTTTATTTTATTTATTTATTGTTGGTTGAGAAGTCAAGAGTCTATGGATTCCTACGTACGATAAATTTCTATGAAATTATGGTCTTTTGGAGAACGTGTGTTATCGTCCATTTGTAATTTCTAGGTTACTTAAGACAGTTTATATTCAATTTT